GAGAGCGAAGGTGACGCCGTGGTCTGGTGGCCACATGGCAGCAGTGAGTGTCTCCTGGGACCAGGACTTCATGGTGTCACTGGCACCAGACCCTGCAGGCACCGTGGCAGGGAGGTGAAGCGCTCCTGCAGTCAGGGTAGGATCTGCACGACTGATGCTGAGGTCTGGGCAGGGGAAGAGGGCATCGAATTGTGCAGCAGGAGGAGATTCGTGCCCGTGATGGAGAAGAGTGTGTCACAACATCGCCAAGGGGCAACTCTCACTACATCGGCCGTTGCGGGAACCCTAGAGCTAGAAAAACACCCGAAAGGGAGTCCTAAGGTAAAGTAACCCTCTAATGGCTTTAACTTAATGCTCATCTCACTCGAGACGACCTCAGGCTGAGCTGGCATACTGATACAGCTCCATGCCTTGTCAGAGCAGCTGCTACCAGGCTGTATTTCACGCTGAAAATGTGTTAGCCCTGTATGAGACTGGCAAGTTATTAATCATCATCATTTATTTATGTATTTACTTAAGATTATGCTCTGCTTTCCACACATGCCTGCTGTTCTGTGTGGAATTTATATCTTAAGTATCTTATACTTAAGATACCAACATACATTAAATATACTTTGAAAATGATATTGCTACCGTTTGTATACTTTTCTTGATGTGATAAAATACTAGTTTAGATTATTAAACTGCATTTATTTATTGTATGAGCTCATTACCTGAATAATCTTCTTGTTAAGAATATTTAACATTTGAAAACTGTTTTTGTGACTCATTTACTATGTTGAGGCCCACTGCTTCGTGTATGGTAGGAGTTGCAAGATACTCTCTTTTCTGCAGCCCAGCTCAGAGCAACCTGCCCACCTGCCTCCATGAGCACTCTCTACCAGCTGACTTCACCAACATACAGGTCCCGGCATTTATATATATATTTTTTGCCTCTGTCATGTTCCATATCCATATTTTCATCTTTTCTGCTGGAGAATACCAAGTTTTTTGTTTGTTTGTTTGTTTATGAACAAAACTGTAAGATTTATGAAAGCGAACCGAACTGTAGGATTTATACTCTTGCCTCCTTCAGGAGTGAATCCCACCTGCAGAGCAGCTCACAGAGCAGAATTTCTGCTCTCGCACAGATCAAGAATAAATCACTATTCTTGAATCAATGTATCAATCACAAATACATCAACAGTTCAAACACAGAGCAGGCAGCAAATATTCCACGGTCTCCGCGGGGCTGTGGGAAATATCAGGCGAGCTATTCAGAGCTAATTCTGCACCAGATCCAAACAGCAGACAGACAGCTAGTGCCTTGGCAAAAAGGTCACAAGCAGAGATGGCCAAATCCTGGTCACCCTGTTAATGCATATATATATCGCTAAGCTAAGCTTATTTATGCTGCTAAGCTTTGAGCCCACTCTGCACCTTCAAACCAGTGGATCCTGCCAGGTGACATAAACTTCTGGGTATTTATCCCCGATAACTGGGGCAGGGAACGAAACATCTCTGCCCAAAGGAAAGCCCTGAAAGTGCTGCCCCGCCAAGCTCTCGGGTGGCTTGGTGCATAGCCCACATGTCTGCACGGTTTGAACAACACAGCTGTACTCCGATGCAGAGCTCTGTCCTCACCTTTCCCCTGCTCTTTTGGGAAAGAGAAGGAGGAGGAAAGATGATGAATAATTCCTTATTGCAGGGAAGAAAAGCAGGGCAACCAGCTAACAGAGACTCCACAAGAACGGGCAGGCAGAGGGACTTCCTGCCTTTTCCTACCGATGGGAAATGGCTGCTCTGATGCCTCGTGTTCAACTGCTTCCCAGCACAGAGCAGCGGGAAGGGGCAGGGAGGATGCAGAGACCTGCAGAGCTTTGGAGACGTAGCCTAACATTTGACTGGACAACGCTATGAGCTGTGAACAGATTTACGGGAGTAACTTTACTAATATTTAGTCTTGCAGCATGGGATCAAGCTCATCAAGTTGCCTCTAAATCTCATAATAACAGACTATTTGGAATTACAACAAAGATTTTGAAAAGTTTCACGGAACTTAAAGTAAGCAAGGCTGTTTTAAAGAGAATTAGATATATTTGTTCCCAGCATCAAGGTCTTTCATGATTTTAATGAAAGAAAGGACTTGAGATTTTTTGGTAGGTTCCCTGAGAAACTCCTACTTCAGATTCTGCCCAGTTGTGCTTTCTAGCCAACGCTTAAAGTAGAAGATTTTTTTTTTCCTGCAGCCACAAAAGAGAAAGAATTGATATTTTGTCCTTCAAACAGGGACTGAAATTAATTCACAAATAGTCCCTGGAAGTAGAGAAGGTAAGCCACAGAGATTTTTCAGAAGGCGCTCCAATCTATTTTAAAGCTTAAGAAGCCAGATGGGAAGGACAACATGGAACTAAAATGCCAGCTATGCCACCTTACTGCACACTCGATGGGACCTTCAGCCACGGCCATAGTGATTTGTACACCGCAGGGAAACAGCTTACTTTTTTACAGCAGCTTTACTGCTTTGTTGTGGTCTCTGGGAAGGGGCACTCTTTACCCACAAACACTTGTTCAGTGCTGAGAAAGTCTGTGGGAGCATCTGGGCCTTGGCAAGCTGGCCCCTGGCTTGGGCTCTTTGCAAGGTCACCTCAATAGAAATGAAAAATTACAGCCGTTCTCATTTTGCTATGGGTTCCATTATAAGCTTATAATACAAAGCATGACGTTGGGAGGGAAAACAAATTTACTCTCTGATGGGCCAACTCAGGACTTAGGAGCCTCAATTCAGATGTGTTCAGGTAGGGCTTAAGATTTTAGGAACAGGGCCTGAAATATGTTTTTATGTGAGTTTCCCGAAAAGTCATACTTTCCTGCAGCAGATCTAGTTTCCACTAAGAATGTGTAAATTATAGCAATAAACCCCCCAAAAGTGTGGAAAAAAAACCAAAGAGACTTCGTGGAAATCAGCAAGTGGCCGAAGACCCAACAGACTGCAGGACAGGGTTCTCTGCCTTTGCGATAAATATGTATGTCACGAAACAGCCAACTATTGAGTTTTTCAACTGTAGAGGATTAAAGAAAACTGAAATGGATAGATTTAGTTCAATCTACTGTTGCATAGCAATATCCTTGCTTTCACCAGGAGCTGCTGCCTTTCATCAAGTCCTTTAAATCTCAGAAGAAGATATTTTTCATTCATATTATGGCAAGGTAGTGTGTGTGAAATATATTTGGCTGGGTGGAAAGCATAGTGAAAATGTAAGCACAGGAGAAATAACTGCAATTTTCCTAAGTGTGTGGAGGTGGTGGTGGTGATTGGGAAGGCACGATAATGAATTGGCAGCTATTTTTTTCTCCTGGGTATGTATTTTTTTGAGTCCAATGGGCTATCCAAAACGGGAGCATGGAGTATCAGCTCCAGCCACCCGGGTGTGGGTGCATTTGCCTTGGGAAGGAGGAGTTTGGCCGTGGGGAGGACCCTGGCAAACACAGCCAGTCACCAGTTAGTTTGAGGTGCAATCCCACTCCCCTCAATTCCGTGGGGTTTTTCTCCTATATGGTGGTGAGAGCAGGGCAAGGCCTTTAGCGGGCTCCTTGCGAGACTGCCAGGAGCGCCGGAGCTCTTCTCCCTAGACTAGAAATCAGGGGTGGGAGAGAGCAGCCAGGCCGCCCTGTCCTTCCTGGTGGGAGTTCTCCCACGAGCTTTGCCGAGGTGCCTCATAGCAACAAAACCCCGCAGCGAACGGGTGACACCCACGGAGAACAGAGCTCATCAGCAGCAACGGCCGGCACAAATCACCGCGTGTTCAGGAAAACATCCCCCGCTCCCTCTTAGGCTGCTTCTGGAAACACAGGGCCCTGTGATCCCACGAGCGCAGTGATTTGCACCGTCACTGGGTGCCCTTGTCCACGCGCGCCCGTGGCTCCTTCGCCAGAATTACTCACCGGTAAATGCCCTAGAAGGGGGGTGATGCTGTCAGACACGTAGATGATGCTTCCACCTGTGGTTACTGCTATAATGAAGCCATCTAATGCCTAGGGAAAACAGGGAAACACACAAGTGGAGAGTGCTTTAGTAGGGAGGAGGGGTGTAAATAGTGCGTCGCGTTGCATGTTGATCAAAAAACCATTTTTACCTCAGCACCATGTTGTCATCAGGGTGTAGGAACATTATCTTGAGTCGCAGAACAGCAATTCTCTGATTTTACAGTCTGATTTAACTTCTACAACACTCTTTGTAGTTTAGTAAAACCTACTACTGAAGCAACAAAGGGCTCACAGGAACATTTCATGTCTCGGTTTTTAAATTAATCACACATTTTAATAATGCAAAATGACTAAGACTGGATCCCTTGGAAGTTATTAAAATGAACATTTGAGCTCTGTGTAAATATCAAAGGACGCTAAAGGATGCAGCCTATCTCAAAATGGTAGTTCTCTGCAAAACCCATAAATCTCAGTTTGTATTAATGTAACATTGTATATTACCAGGCTTTCATGTAAGTAAAAGCAATGCAAATGATCAAATAATCCTTAGCCTGCGTTTTAATTGAGTGATTTATTTTAAAGGTCATGGTATTAGATTACTCATTCAAGGAGAAATTCACCCTTCTGCAGAGCCTTGAAGTTTCTGTCCCACCTTGCAGTAAGTCCTTTCATTCCTGGGACCGCAAGGCAATACCAGCTGTGATCACTCCTGTCCTCTGCAGAGGAGCAATTTTGCCTTCAAAACTGTTTTCCTCATCACCCTGAACTGCAAAGTTGTGAGCTAAACCTTGCTCAAAGCTAAATCTAGTGAAGTTTCCAGACCTGAAGCTAAATTTCATCTGCTCTGAGCAGAACCCCCAAAATAGCGAAGAGCCAACACCAGGTGCCCAGGGACTGCATTAAATCCTTCCCACTGAAATCTGGGAGTCACTAGTGAACTTCCAGTGCCTTTTGAGCAGGGCAGGTTTGGGTCCTTTTTGGGTCAGTTTACTGGCTACATCTGAGGTTGGTACTGACTGCCGTATTTGAGCAGCGCAAATGAACCAGAGCAGAGCAGGAAGAGGAAATGCTTGTGCAGAGGACAGGTGTTGTGCAAACAGCCTGGTTAGGGTGACATGGAGCTAGAGGAGCTCATTGCAAACCCCACTGTCCCTCCAAGCCAGGATAGCAATTGCTCCTGGGAACTGCAGAACATCCTCCCCCTGCGCCGCCTTCAGTAAGGGGAAGGATTTGGAGAACACTGGAAAATGCTAATTGTTGGGTTTTTTAAAAAGGAAAAAAAGGAAAACACAAAGCCTTGAATAATGATACAAACATATGTTCCTTTTTCCAGAGAACGCTGAGCACCCGCAACTATTTAAGTCAATGGGAATCTGCTGGTGCTACAATCCTCTGAAAAGCAGGTCAATAACTTATACCCCAGCAAAGGAGTGTGTGCTTAGCATCTCTGAAAACCCTCCAGCTGCAATAGCTAGTTTGATTTTGTTAAGCTAAGTGCAGAGGATATGTTTTTCTTTAGTACAGTACATTCAAGCTGTTTTCTAAAAACCACGATAGCTGTTAACCCATAGGAGAGAGCAGGGGTTTTACAAGGCAGCTGGATTGTGCATGTTACTATGGTGAGGACTTTCTTTTTTTTTTTTTTTTTCAAATCAAGTCTTTGTGTAATTTGCATTGGATATGAAATAAAGTGACTCATATCAGAATTTGGTGGTAAAATCAAGTTAATGCATGCATACATAATTCTATTTTTATTTACTTGCAACTAGTTCTTCTAACGTGGAGATGGCATATCCCCCATCAAAGATTTCACTATTGCAACTATCGTAAATGGACAGCGAAAGCCTAATAACAGCTCCTATGTAATCTGATGACAATCTTTCTTTGGGTGTGAGAAAAGACCATTTTTAGGAAAGCCGGTACATTACTGCAGTATACTTGGAATCAATATGCTTTGATTCCCTTTAACGAGTGCTTAAAGGAAACTCCTCCCCATTTCTCTATAACAGGCCAGGAAAAAATGTAAGCTTGTCCAAATGTTAATGAAATACACTTAGAGGAAAGGCAAAAAAGAGTAATGAACACCTGGCTCCACGGGACATCGCAGCACCTAGGGTCAGCATGATGGGCAGGGAAACTCAGAGTAGCGAGCAGTTTATTTTTAAGCTAGGAAACCAAAAGCAGTTGTTTTCAGCTAAACCAGCACAGCATACAAAAGGAATCCGCAAAGGCACAGCCGGTCGAGACATCGGCCAATTTGTGGCCATCTGCGGGAAATATTTTAATGCAAGCTGAAGGAGTGACGCGTGGTAAATTCCTGTACACTGAAAGGAGAATCTGCAGTTGTCAGGTCGACGCCAACACGGCGCCTTTCTACCCCAAGCCGGGCGAGAGGCGGCCGCCCCGAGCGCCGCTTGGTGCCACCCCTGCGGTGACATGAAGCCACATGGTGCCACAGCCGGGGCCCGGAGCCCCACGCGCGGGAGCCACGACGGGGCCCAAAGGAGGGAAAGGGCCAGCAGCCTCCGCGTGCTCAGGGATGGAGGGGGTCAAAGAGGAAAAGGGCTCTGGCTCTTGGAAAGAGAGAATAATGTGCTTGAGCAGCTCACTTGCATTTCATCTCAGCCCTGTGTAAAAGCCACTGAGTCACCCCCCTTCAGATCCCAGCTAGCGTTAAGAGTGCCTATGGTATAATTTAAAGGTAATTTAAAAACTATCATTGCCAAATAACTGCGCTCCCTGTTATAATAGAAATATTCTTGATGAGGGCCTTGAAAATCATTATAGTAGAAGTATTAACTGTATCAAACCAACAGGAGCTGTCAGGTTATATCTGCTTGTACAGCACCTAGCACTAAAGGGACCTGACATCATAGCTTTTTAGGTGCTACTCTTGCATAGCTATTAGGTAATAATAATGCTTCCCGAGAACAGAAGGATAAAATGCTCCTTTGCCCTTTGCTCACCTCTGCTGGTAATACTGAAATGTAAAGCGTGATTTGAATACCTCCTCTGGCTTGCATGTCTTGGAAGTCTGTGTGCTCTGTACCTGGCTGCAGCAGCTCTGTGAAATGATGCTGCCCCTCCAAGAATGGAGAGGAGTATGTGGGACCCTAGTCCTTCATGTCAAGCGCGGCTCTGCTCAGTGGTCACATGTGGGAGTACCTGCAACCTCCTCTTTTGGGACAGCAGACAGCATTTTGCTCTAGAAGATTGGGCATTTTTGTATCTGTTAGACATAATTAGGAAAAAAAAAAAGATATATGCATGCTCACCTCCAACATCAGCTGGGTGAATTCTTCATTGCTGAGGAATGAAGGCTTCCAGTCCTGTTGAATTTCCGAAATCTCTGTTTGTGCCGAGACTTCTAAACACAAACAAAACAGTGCATGTTTTTAAATTCAGAGAAACTGACATCTGGCAAGACTGTACATGAGTTACTGTGCAAGGATAGAAACCATCTCTACATTCAAAAATGGTGATTTTCAAGCATGAGATGCAGAGCGAGAGTACAACAAATATGTAAATGTGGCCCAATCCCAAAATGTTTCCCTCAAGTTTTACTCAGCTCAGCTGGAACTGGCTGCAGTGGGAGCTTGCAGTCATGAACCACTGCCTTCTGTCAGCCTCACAGAGGTGAGTATTGATCAAAAGATAAAAGTGCACAAAGCTAAAATCAAGGCAAGGACCAGCCCATGTCAAAGAGGTGGTTACAATTTTCTAAATTTGCAAAGAGAGCAGGACAGGGGAGGAGAAGGAACAGAGTGCCCGGGTTCTCATCCCCAAATCCTGCCCGCAGGGTGGTCTCCCATGCACCGTGTCCGTGATGAGGACCCTGACCTGCTCACAGTGTTTTGCCCCGCTGCTGGGCCAGCCTGCAGGCACAAGCTCCCTGCCAGCTTCATCGGGCATGCAAAAGAACCCGCAGCACAACCTGGAGCCGAATGAAAGGTGCACCTAGCTAAAAGATTTGCTCCAAATAACGGTGACTCACATTAGCTTTACCCGCTAAACTTGTCAGCTGGTGTTACAGGGGGCAAATTTCATGATGTGGAGAGGCTCACGTGGGTTTTGCTTGCTGTTTGCTCTGCTGCTCTAGAAGTGCTCCTGAATTCCCGCAGTGCACGGGGTGCCGTGTGCAGCCTGTCTTTCCCTTCCAGCACCACCTGCTAATTAACCCAATTGATTAACACTCATGGAGCACATAGTGCTCAACACTCTCCATTCCGAGCACATCAGGAAAACTGGCCTGAGAAATGAAAATTAAACGGTAAATGGTATTAAACGCAGTAAATTTATAACGGTGCCTGTGCATATTGTCTCCTAGAAATAAATCAAAGCCTCCATTTGGGCTTTATTAGTGGAGAGAGGCAGCTGTTTGTTTCTAGCAGCTTATTCAGGTTTTGGCACTGCTGGGGGTGGTCGCTGCTAGCACAGGGGATCTCCAGAGCTAAGGTGGTTTGAGACGGCATTTCCAAAAGCCAGCTAAGGAAGCAGGGAGAGCAGCCACAGTCAGATTTTTATTATGTAGCCTCGGAATATAGGATACTTACAGCAGATAGATAGCATGGAAAAGATACTATGTGTAAAACATAACTGCTAGAAGAATTGCTTGAAATTTGGCAGTTTCCATGTGTATGAAAGAGAAAATCTGAAAATCGATCCACTCCTCTCTTATAACTAAAATCTTGATTCAGCACACTAAGTGAAAGGGAAATTATGTTCAAATTACCCTGAAAATAATCAACATTTTAAAACTGTGTTGCTTTGTATTATACTGTGTGGCTACTAATCTAGTTTAAAAATAGATGACATTTGCTTTTTTTAGCAAGTGCACAAAAACGGTCACAGTTTGACCCAATTGCTGTATAAGGATTTGTGGCTGTTAGCTTTCTTTTACTTAATTATTCCTCTAGAAATGAAGTGCCTTTTTGAGTGAATTATTTGGGCTATCAGCTACTCTTGTCTACACTTACTCAAATCCCATGTGATCTTTCTTTGCTTGGCTTTATAACTGAGCACAGTCCCATTCTCCTTTACTCTGCCTTGGGCAGCTAAAAAAATAGATATGTTATTACTGTCACTTTTTAATAGGTATATACAATTATCAAACTTTCAGATGTCCTAGTCATGCCCTCCTGTATGAAGTCATCTTGTCTAGGGTAAAAATTAATTTAAAGAGAAACTTTTCTCTAACATCAGAATCACTATAATTATTCCCTCCATAAGTTTGACACTTGCGACTCCGTTATGTTGGGAGCCATGATATATGAGTTTTTATGCTCTTTTCCAATTCACCCAGAGCTCCCAGGAGCGTGGGTGGCAGATGGCTGAATGAACGAAGATGAGACAGGTGATGCTTTAGCTCCCTAGAGCCCATTCTGCCTTGGGGGACCAGGAATGTTACCCGTGGCCACTCACGGAAGCCTCTGGCCTCATTCCCACAGGAGAGGACAAGGGGACCCCATTTTAAACCAGCCCTTGTTGATTTATAAGGGAAAAGCATTTAAATTGTCTTCTTTTTTTTGAGCAGGTGGCTAAAGTCCATGTGTCAAGGAGCCTGATGCCCACACTTCTCTCACCTACTACATACTGGAAACAAGACCAACCAGATTAGAACAGTTGGCTCTGAAATCACTACTATGGCCAGGGCACATCTTAAAAATACTCAGCAATCAGTACTGAGTGCTTTTTAAAACTAACCTCCTGGCCTTCACTTCGGGCAGAAAAGAGCCTGCATGTTTTTTCATTAGAAGAAGAAACAGGAATTAACACCTTGCAGCAGCACCTTTGGGCCCCTTGAGCTAGTCTGCTCATCCTTGAAGGTTCAGGATATTGTACCAGCACTTGGTTACTGTATGAAGAGCTGCAGTAAATTTACCATTGTGTTTCTGCAGGAAGCCAATGACTTTTTCCAGCACAGTAGTTTTGTCCATTTTGCGGGTGTTGCCCGGAAGCATGGAGCTGAGCTCCTTGATGAGAACATTGAACTGGTCGCGCCTCTTCTTCTCAGACTTGTTACGCGAAGCCCTGCAAGCAAGAAGGAGAAAAAAAGGAAAAAGATGAGTGGACCAAGAAAAAGTCTGAAGATTCAGGATTAAAAAGTCTTTAGAAAGTGTGTTTAGATAACAGACTCCTCAGAAAGAGACTACTTCTGATGCTGTGCTTGAAAAGCTCATAGCAAGGAAGGACCTAATTTCATTTGGGGTGTTTCGGTGCCATCATAATGCTATCATTAAGACTGCTGGTCTCTTGGTTGAGCGTCTTTTAATGATTTTTATTATATACCAACTTATACACTAGAAAGTGTTTTCTGAATTGTTCCCTGGAATACTGCAATCAATCCCTTGAAAGGCATTGCCCAGACATCTGTAGCCATGTGTAAATAAAGAAAAGATAAACAAGATTTGCTTTGTTAAATACATGAAGATCTAAAAAGTCTGCTTATAAGTAGACAGGGAAGAAAAACCAACAGGTCCATTCTCACGCGGAGTTGCTAAACCCATGCTAGCTCTGTGGTACTTCACCAGGAGGCACGCCACTGAAAACCAGAGCAGAATTTATCCCAGCATTTACATCCCCCCAAGGACCAATATGGCAATAAACACTTTCAGCTACAAAATCACAGCAGAGTCTTCTGGATGTTACTACTGACAGAGGGGTATTTTTTGTTTGTCTTGCTCTCAACCCTGAACGCACTTGGAAATAAACTGGATGAAAGCCAAAGCCTGATTATTTTACAGCTTTGAACACAAGAGATTGGGTGGATACTGCCTGACTGATTTCAGCCTGTTCTTATTACAATGCAAAAGGCTGTCAGAACAAGATGTGAAAAGCTCCATCCTTATCCTATTTCTGTACAGTTCAAGGGAACCTAAAGAACATCAGCATTTTACTTCCTCATAATTTGAGGTTCTCTTCATTTTTTGGAAGTCTTGAGTCTCCTGAAAATAAAACAAAACACTAACTATCTATAGGGTGAGTGTGTTGATTTGCCAAAAATAAAGATGTCTCACAAAGATGTCTTAACATGAATATAGGGTACCTATTTTTAACACTTGACATTTTATTCACAAAGGAAATGTAAAAACTCCTCTGGTGGAAATAACTCTACCAAGATCTGAATCAATGATCGCAGTAAAATCTTAAAAAGGAAAAAAAAAAAAAGTGAGAGAGAAAAAGACAATTAGGTCATCTAAACTACCATTGTAAATGTTTTGCTCAGTCCAGTTACAAATGTCTTAAATAATGCAGTTTTCCTCACTTTCCTCTAAAGATTATTCCCTAGCCTTGTTTGCTTCACTGCTAGGGCATGTCATTTATGGCAAGCCAAAACAGTTTGCGTCTTAATTCCGTATGATTCGTCCCAGTTCTCCTCTCTCCTCACTACCCAGGAAAAAATATGGCTTATTCAAAGGGAAGGAGACACCGTATGAATAGAATTTGGATTTTTAGCGAATATAGCTGAACATATAGGACAGCTTGAATTCAGAATGATCAAAATCCCCAATTTAAAATGTTACTAAATAGTCATTTTTAATCTGAAATATATTTTCTATTTATTGTCTTATAGAAAGACTGTTGCTTGTTGATTTGCAGCCAAATCACCATGCTGATTTACAATGAATTGTAGTTTTACATTGAATTTGATATTTCTTTTTGCTATCCAGGAGGATACATTGTATACACATCAAAGCAACTAACTACATAACATACCTTAATTCAGAGTCTTATTTTTTTATTAGAGTGAAAATGGCAAATGCTAGTTCTGATTTACATGGTTACTCATGTTTCACTTCCAGCTGGTTATGGCAAGAATTTGGAATTCAATTAAATTGCAGAAAGTGTATGTTCAAATAGTTTTACATTAGTTAAAGCAAACTAAAAGAAAATCAGATGAGCCAAAAAAAAGCTCACAGAACGTGCTTTTTGTTTTAAATTAATATAATTATAAATCAAAGTAAGCCTTGTCCAGCACCAAAGAATTGCTATTGTTTCTATCTCCAGAAGATCGAGATCTCCAAGAGGTCTTAGATGTTTTCAGGTTTGGTGCCATCACACCTATATTTTTGGCCTTCAGGCTTTTTATTGTGGTTAGGTGAGCTAGGTGTAATCAGGATCCTGAAGGAAGAGCAGTACGGTTTAGTTAAATAATATTCCCTAGCCAAGGGTTGAGATTTCAGATGTCTCTCCTTGGGAGAGTATGGCCCGTGTTCCCAGCACTGGTAATATATCAAAGCCTATTTGGCTTGAAAACTTTCTCCTTTTGCAAGGAGCATCTCCTCTCCCACGTGACGATTTGCTTGAATCAATAAGCCACAGAAATGTGGCTCTTTTGGGGCCTCCCTCTGCTCTCCTCCCTGGCATGTGCTTTGTGATGGAGCAGAGGATCAGGGTCAGCAGACGGGATGTGATGCCCTTGCCCACGGCTTGGTGGACCTGGGTCTCCCGGCTCTTGGTGAGTGCGTTAGTTGCAATCCTAGAAGGCTTTAATGATGCTGGTCCGCTTATGGTGCATGTCTGCATAATACAAACTAAAGTCATAATAAATCAAAACAAGTAGCAAATACGAAGGCATCTGGTCATACTTGTGGCTCAAGAAATCCCGCTGGAGGCTTGGATCCCTCCCCCAGGTGTTAGTTACAGGCAGTTGCAGCCTCATTAGCTTTTGCTCATGAAATGAGAGAAGAAAAAAATTTTCTTGTCTTTTATTTTTTTAAACCTCCTCCTTGGTTTCTTAGCTTTGAGGGACCTATTCCCCAGACTGAATAAAATAAAACACAGAAAGTGCTTCCCCTGCAGCACATGGCAGATGAGAGCCAGCAGTTTCCAACAAACAACTGCAAGACACTTAGTGGCTTTGCCCAGGTTTGACTTTCTGCAGAGCATTGGGAGCAAATGCTTAGCTCTTGATTATTTTTCATCGACTTGCAATGGATTTAGTATATTATAGCAACTTTAGGCCTCATCTAGGCTCTCATGATTTCAAAATTAATTTCAATTTTAGCTTTATTTATGAATAGGAAAGTGTAGTTAAATTTGAATATCAAGATAAAAATATACACATATATTCTTTTTCAATTTAGAGGTTGTCATTTTTCTATCCACCGTGATACAGATGTGACTCAGGGTAGCAAAAGAATTCCCTGCCTGAACAAACAGCATAAAAACTATATCAGGTGGCGATGAAAAGCACTGAAAATGAACACACATACTACATATCTATGCCCTAGCTCAGAGATACCCTGAAAAATAACAAGGTCCTAAATGTATGAAGAGTGATACAAACTCTGTATGGGCTTCCTTCCTCTACTTTCCCCTTCTTTGTGTTTCTTGCACTAGAAGTTCACGTCTCGCAATGCCTCATGCTCACTATGGCACCTTCAGCTGTGACATCCCTTCTCCACATACCCCTCTTTCTGCTGAATCCACCTCTCTCCTGCCCACCGACGCCTATGTTATTTGCAGGAGGCGTAAGTAGACATCCCTTGCAGCCCTGAGTGGAGGTCATTGCTTCGCCTCCGGTATCGAACGCGGGCCTTGAACATGCACAAATTAGAAAAGGGAGCAAAGGAGGACAGGTGAGCTTGGTTGCAGCGTGTGCTGACCTATATTAGTGAGAAAAGGCTGCAGGGAGGAAAAAAGCGGAGAAGGAATCAAAAGAGATGAAACTGGATCAACTAGTTGTGCCTGGACTGGAAATACTGTCATTAGAGAGAACCAAGGGGAAAAAAAAATGCAAGTAACCTGCGGCTCTGTCTGAAGCAATTGAGCTGCAGGTTGCAGTATTGATAAAGCTTCCAGAAAAAAAAAAAAAAAAAAAAAAGCTCACCAACTGCTTCTGTGATACTGCAGATACCGGTCAGATTTGACAGTTGTTGCAGTTTACTGCCACAAATCTTCTTCTGCCTCAAAACATGCCCTCCCTCCTCCTCATGAAGTGTTCACAACAATTTCCTGCCTACTTATCAACTGAGGCTTTATCAGAGAGAGGAAAGTATATGTGAATAGATGTTTGTGCCAGTTCGGGGTTGACATAGCACTTCTTTAATGGTCTTTTTCTGTTATGAAGATAACTTCTGGGTGTTTTCATTACTGTGAGATAGGCACAGCTGAATAAATGACCATCATAATAAGGAAAAAAAATCATTTTAAAGTCTTTTTTTTTTCTTTTGCAGGATGCCTCTTGTAAAAAAAAATCACGCATTTTATATACTCTGGAGGCTGGGGTGATGTATTATAGAATCAGGAGGATTCTGCTAGTTCTCCAGTTCTAGTGCTCTGCAGTAATATGAAAAAGCAAAATCAATGCCTTTGCTTCTTTGACATTTTTCACATTGCTTAAGTTATTTTGTTCTTACAGGGTAGCTGAGATAGTGATCTGTGATAGAGCAGTTTTTCAGCTTGTGCTTGGCTTTATTTTACTCTCTCTTTCTGTTGAATTAATTATGGATAAAGCAGCTTCTGCAGCAACAAACACTATTAGACTCACCACAAAATAAGCAGAGAGTTATAAAAGAAAAAGTGCTCACCTTTTTGCCCTGTCCTTCTCATCTTCCTCCATTAGATTGTCTAAGCAGTTTTTTCTGTTAAAGGAATGCAAGAGTCGTTATAAATTGTCATTTTGTTAGCTCTACTTTCAGGTTATTCTCAGAGTCTCTTCTATTTCATTTTAATAACAGAGTGATGATATTCAGGTCAGATAAATGTGTCAGCAGTGCTTTATACCACAGTCCTTGATTTTAAGAAACATCCGTTGTAGATAATATTATTTCTCAGCATCACACCAGCTTGTAGGGGCTCCAGTCAGCAATCAAAGCCCCAGGCATAACACAGCATGCCAATACAGTAGAAAAAGACTTTTCAAGAAGGATTTACAATGTTGGGGTTATTCTCTGCAAACCTGCAATCTAGATGGGCCCTAGGTTTTGTGCCCAAGCTAACAAGGTGTTTTCAGCATTTCGATATATTGCTCCACGCTATTGTCACTGGCGCATGGACTGGAGCTGGCCTTGGCCATGCCTTGGGCTGGCTGGAGACGTGATGTCCTCCTCCATGGGCCCTCACCCGAGTACCAAAGAGACCATTGTAACCTCACTGAGTTATAGCCCAAATTCAAAAGGCTCAAATTCAGAAGAGTGTTGCGAGGACAAAACCATTCTGCTGCCTGCAGATCTCGTCTCCATCTCTGTCCAGGCTTGAAACAGCTAGTGCTCCATGGCTGAGCAGCTGACAGGCCTTGATTTGCTGCACAGGTGAATATGTAGCCCCTGGCTCTAGTCCTGACCGTGAACCGTAGCCATCAGTGTCATTCCTTTTGCTAGTGTTGACCAAAACGTTTTGACCTGCAGTCAGGTTTATGGTCCAATTGCTCAGGCAGCTCATTCTGTAAGGATAAAGTATTCTGAGCACGAGACATGTTCATAAAGCCACAGAGCAAAATGGAGTAAACAACTAAATCAGTAAATCGTGCAGGTGAGGCAGAGGGAAAAAGTACAAGACCAGCACAGCTGACGGCTGAGATCCTCGGAAACATTCGTCTCGAGCTCACTGCCAGCCCTTCTTTTGCTCCATGGTCTCAGGAGGAAGAGATGCTTGAGACACAGCCCTGTGCAGGCTGCCCACTACAAGGCTCTATACCACCCGTCTTCTCTCGTGGCATCGCGCACTCGCATCGAAGCACAAAAGCTGCATTTCACTGCATGCTGCACAAATATTTTCCAGATCAGGAGCACAGTACTGTTACTAAGTCTGGATATGGCCGACGGTCATTTTCAAAGTGTTAACATAATGGCATGCAATGATAATAGTTTCAAAAATCAATAATATGTTCACATAATGATTCCTCAAAATGTAAGACATACGAACAAAATCAGAGGGTGGGAGGAGAGAAGTTAATTGTCATGCATTATTTCAGCCCAGAGTATTTTCCATATATGAGTCACATAGCAATTCACCCATCTAAAGAACATTTTATTAAAAAACAATTAAAAAAATTAAAAACCTAAGCTGCTACTTAATGGGGTTCAATTTGTTAGTGGAGGAACATAAGAAGGAAATATAAAGAGACATTGGCTTTTTGAGCTGGGATTGGCAGATTTAAATTGCTGAATTCTATTATACAGAACAAAATAACAGATCACGCTATGTAGCTTTTAGCCCCATCTGGTTTTGTAAGGCAGAAGGTACCTAATAAAAAGAGCCATCTATAAACTGTCAAGGAATTACACCGCTGAGAAGTCTCTACCCTGACAAGAGATCAACAGGTCTAACTGGTCTGTTCTGCCAAGGATTTGGCTAGATCTGTAAAGCAATTTATGGCCAAATGCCAGTAAACAAGATTTCTCACTGACTGACAGCAAATTCAGGACCTACTGTGTTTTAGCTGGTGTCAGACAACATCTAATTGTCGTTTTGCTTCTACTTCCTCACACAGCAAAATCTCCAGAGCATTGCAAGCATTACTAACAGTGTTTGCCAGCCATAAGCAATTAAAACTATTCTCCAAAAAATAGGATTTTTTTTGAGAGTATAAGACTTTTGTGAACCGTTATGGTCATCTTTGCCCTAAGCTACACCAAATGTTGGCTAAGTGCTGGAGGAGAGTCCCATGACACAGAGGTTAGGTTTGTGCTCGGTGCAACCTGCTTGCACCACTTTATCCTCCCAAGCTGAGAGGGCCCAGAAAAGAAAAACAACGAAAAACAAAAAGTCAGTCTACTCTTTTATCCCCCCATCAGTGCCAGGGTTAGGAAGCAATTCCAGCGCATTACAATGACAGAGACAGACAGCAAATTCCATGGATATGGATCACTGTTCCCTTCCACATAAATGACATTAAAACCAGGAACACAAGAATTCCTCAAAATCTGAACAATCCTTTCATGCTAACAAAGAAAACCTGAAAACGTGAGAGAAACAGCACCACATGGTGTGACTCATGGCATTGGGTATATAGCAATGACGGCCACGTGCAGAACTTCATTAATATCATATCAATAAAAAGTGAAGAAATTGTCATTCAAAAAGTCTGGGGCCTCTGGATTCCCCCCTCGCTATTCCTGGTCCAAAGGAGCATCATTCTTTGTCCAAAGCAGGCATGGGCAGGCTGCAGCGCCACTTGCCTACTAGCCTGGTTGTTAACTACACTTCTTTTTCTGACAAATCACTGCCCTCTCTGCCCCAGATCCTGGGCATGTTAGCCAGGTGTGTCCCTTGGAGTACTTCCCTTATGGGGTGAACTTGCACAAGCCATAAATGCCTCATCCCGGTATAGGTTGTCTGACTGGGGAGTCTGGCTTGAGCCCAATGTGATAAGCAAAGTGAGATCTCTTTTAACCTGACAGCACATGAGAAACAGATCATCAGACTTTTATGGAAATGTTTCATTTTTGAATCTTTTTCATTTTTTAGATTTTATTTTCCTTTCCTTTCCTTTCCTTTCCTTTCCTTTCCTTTCCTTTCCTTTCCTTTCCTTTCCTTTCCTTTCCTTTCCCTTTTTTTTTAATTTTTTTTGGGTAAACTAACAGGTAACCACAGACCCCTGGCTTGGATATCAGACAGAGAATTGCAGCATGACCCTCCCCCTCACACTCATTCATGTGATGAAAAGTTGCTTGGGAAAGAAGTAATTCAGGTACAATTCCAGGTCACTCCAGGGACCCTCCTGAAGAAAAGCTGCACATTTATTTTGATACCATCTATTCCCAGTGGACACAGAGCTGGCACTATAAAATTCATCTGGCCCTGATCACCTTGTGCTGCACTCGAAACATCCTTTTTAGTGAGTTAAGCTGCCACCCATCTCAGTCTGCAAGGCCGGTTTCCCTCTTTGCTGTTCGAGTGCCCATAAGGCTAAACTATCAAACGATTGACACTCCGATATAAATTATCAGTTGTTGATTTCCCACAAACATGCTATGTGACCAGCTAATCCCAGCTCCTACAAATCAACCTGGCACTTAACAAGAACTTTCAATCATACTCCGTTAACTTGCTCTAATTAAAGCACCGTCGATCGCAGCAAAGGCTGAGGCATAAATCTCTCCTAGAGGTGCCAGGTTGTGTTTGGGGAATCCTCATGAGAAATCATGAAGTTTTGAGCCCTGTGCTGGCCACAGAAGCTGGGTTCTGCCTCTTTCTGCCTCTTGTGGGTGCTGAGGCAGCTGCCGCCCCTGTCCCGTGGGCTTTTTTGGGGTGCTCAGCAACTCGTCCCATCCAGGGCAAGTGCAGTTCTGGGTAGAGGTGCCTTGGCCATGCCTTGGCCATGACTTGGCCACCCTGATCCACATACACCTGATCTCTCCCTCTAGTCTCATGCCAGGAGCACTGGGCATGCTGGCCCAATACCATAATCCTAAAATGAAGATACTGCACATGGAGAGCAGTCCTGCCACAGAGAGAGCATGGACAGGAGCTGTATTGAAATTTTGGACTCTGAGAAGAAATATCTCAAGCTAACAGCCGATCCCCCGGGCAGAGCCTCCAAAAACTGCTGTGTCTGTCAGGGCAGACAAGGAAAAGCCCCAGGGGGATATGTCTCCATGCGTCCTAGACTGTCCCGGCTGAGTCCAACATCTCCCAGACGTCGAGCGCTGCCCTGGCAGGAGGAGTTACCCCCTCCTCACCTTGGAAAGAGAGGAAAGAGGCTGCTGAAGATAGGCAGGAGGTACCCAAAGAAGGCACACAGCTGTGTTCAGCCATTCAGGACATGAAGGCTGGATCCACCTGCTTGCATAGGGATGGAAAATGAAGAGCAGGACACCGTACGTATCACATATGATCAAAAGCTGGACAGGTATTTAATAGCACAGGGGATCACTGCTGCGCTGGCTCCAGCAGTGGCATCCCGTTTGTTCTGAAGCAGAGTAAAATGGTGGGTTCATAGAAAAGTCAGTCTTAAACCAGAAATGCATCCCTCCATGCTTATTTCTCAGATGTAAACCCATGAACTGCTACAAGAACATACTAGACCCCATAGCTAAATACAGCATAATCCCATCCGTACAAATTAAAATCAATTTATGAAAATGTAAACACAGTAACTCTAGGAAAATGGCAACAAATAGTAAAAAACCACACATTTCTTATGTTGTACACTGTTATTTGAGAAGGGACTGTGACTGTGATTTTTCGGAGGGAGAATGGCAGTCTGCAGTTATCACGGGTCATGTAATACTGAAATTGTTATGAGAATTACTGTTTTTATAAGTAAAGTAAAAAATCCAGTAGCGCAGTAAGTGCCTAGCATTAGTTAGGATTATTTTTGCATGGCAGCTTGTAACCTACTCTTCCCGTTCTTAGTAATTTGCTACATTTTATTTATGCTAGAGAAGAGGATGTTGGGGTGGTTCCAAAAAAAAAAAAAAAAAAACAAACAAAGCACAGGGGGAAAAGTAGAAGAAAACTTTTGGAGAAAATATTGGACTTCATTAAGTTATTCTTTTAGCAGATAAGGTAACTTGCTGTGATGTTTTAGATACAGATTTTGAAAACTCAGAATGATTCTAGTGTGAAAAGCATTACAATCAAAATCACCTAGAACCTGATAGTTACCAAACAGTAATTAAATATACAAAAAACT